GTCAGATGACAATTATTACTTCTTTGACACTTTATAACATCTCAATGGAACCCATGGGCATTCATCTAGGTTAATGATTCCCACCCTTTCAATATTGTTTCCCCAAAATACGGCTGGTTCTGGCCTTATTTAAGGATCTGAGCTCATCCAACAACAGTCTGCAAGTCTATACACAAATTTACGAAAATTTAAAAAAAAGACCACCAAAGTAGTAACCAAACTTTCAGAATAGTATAGTATAGATAGTGTGCCAGCCATTCACTAGAAACTTCTTAATTAGATTGTATTACTGGTACTCTAAACAATTCATCCAAAACCTTTTTCATTCTCTTTCAAGTTTACTTTGTTTACAGAACTATTGTTAACCACCACTTAAAACTATAGAGTCTTTCAAAAATGGAGACAATACATTTAAGGTCTCATTGATACATACATTACCTATAAATAGTTTTGTGACAACAACAAAAAGCAAACAGGCAAGAATAAAAAGTCTGAAGATATTTTGGTTTTGAAATCAGGACCCTAATGCCATATCACTAATATCATGAATAGGTAATCCTAAATCTTTTCGTTCCCAGTGTCTTCAGTAGATTACAGCCTCTTAAAACTGATATGGTATATCACAAGATAATAATACATAGTAACGCTTTATTGCTAAATAGTCTGTGTACGCATAATAATAGCACATAATCATATTACTACTAGCAGTCACATAAACAATGAACTGAGAAATGTTGTTACATATAAGCTAGAATCACATTATCGTAGAACATGTTAATCAGAAAACACATTTTACATGTATGCTTCTGCACACAATAATTCAGGAGGAAAGCTAGCAATTTTTATTTTTTTTTACACAATGACAAAAAGCCATATTGAATCAGAAACCATACTCTGGTCATGGAAATGTCATATAATTATCCAATATGGCTACACTCATAAATAATTTACTATTATACAATAAAATTATCCAGTAAATTGGCTTTTCTCAACTATATTAGCAGTAAGGAACCCCTGAAAAATAAAGTTCAGGTCCCAGGAAAGCCCTACGGAAAATGATTATATCTACAGCTCATGATGCATACACCACACCACATTGGTGGTCAATGAAACAAGGTTCTCCTTACACTGTGGAAAAGAAAAGATGCCCTGTTACACTAGTGGTAGGTGAGAAAAATGGCCATTACAGTGGTGACCAGTGCAGTGCACCCATACATTAGTGGTCATTTGGAAAAATGCCACCTTACCAACAACTAACATGATCAGCGTTAGCTTAACTGAGAAATCAGAGAAGAAGTTCTGCTGTACCCACTATGCTGGCCTTGTTAAGTGGTGTTGGTGCCAGAACTATGCAGGCACCTTCAGGCTGGTGGTCAATTCACCACTGCTCACTGCTTATGGAACCCCTAGAAAATTCTCAGGGAACCCCAGAGTTCCAGGGAACTCAGTGTGAGAAAGGCTGATCTAGATGTTAGAATATCTTCATATACCTGCAGGTGTGGCTCAATCCCTTTGCGCTAATGTAAACTACATTGTGTTTGTACATAAGTTGGTGTACTTGCGGTAGGAAATACAATGTTGTATATGACTTTGCTTCAAAGACTACCATGGCAGCAGTTTTATTTTATGGCGGTTTAGTATTATATGGGTATAGAATGTACAAAAGAGTGGAATAATTTGTAGATTGAAAATATACAGCGATCAGCGATACTTTACATTACAGCGGATCTGCACTAGAGATAGCTAGTAAATGTTTTATAATAAAATAATTTGTATTATTTGGTCTACAGAGTTATCCTTCATCTTAAAATATTAATTGATGGAATAGATGCGCAATATATATCATCATCATCATCATCAATATCTACAGAAATATAAAACCAAAAAATTTAATTGCAAAAATAATTAGTTTTATTGTAATAATAATAATAATAATAATAATAATAAAATCAATAACAAAGGTATTATTGGGTAATAATAATTGTTGTTAATATTGTTAATTTTTTTGCTATTGTTATTAGAACTACTTTGCTATTGACATTACAACTACTTTTATAATTAATATATTTTCCACATCATAGATGTTGAGTAGATTTGTCCTTGGGTTTGAATACTAATCATCTAATCATTCTTATTCATTCTGCTAAAAATATTTTTTTTAACATTAAAATTCTGTAATTAATAGTTTTTGCTGTTATTACTACTACTATTATAATTATAAAGTTTTAAACATCCTAAAGATGTGAAAATATATCCTTGGTTTTGAATACTGATCAGGCTATTAATAATGTTTTTTTATATCAAATTCTGTTGTTATCCTCTGATTATTTATTTTATTTATTTCAGGTACTTATATAGCGCTGTCAATTTACGCAGCGCTTTACATATATATATATTGTACATTCACATCAGTCCCTATCCCATAAGGGGCGCACAATCTGAGGTCCCTAACTCACATTCATACATACACATACTAGGGCTAATTTAGACAGGATCCAATTCACCTACCAGCATGTCTTTTGAGTGTGGGAGGAAACCGGAGTACCCGGAGGAAAACCGCACAGGGAGAACATGCAAACTCCAGGCAGGTGATGCCGTGGTTGGGATTCAAACCAATGACCCTAGTGCTGCCAGGCGGAAGATGATACCATACAGTCTAAAAAATCATAAGCAATATATTTAAAATGCGAAAAGTTGCCCCAAACAAATACATCTGCCACAATGGAAATTATCTTTGGTCATCACTCCAGCATGAGTTTCCCTTATAATTATTTTAAAATGCTGGCCACTATGTTTATTTACGATGGCCACTGGTTTTGTATTTTGACTGTTGACATGATATTGAATGTGCATCCGTGTGTACGCATACCTAATGTAAATAAAAAGCAAGATGGAGCATGTGTAATGCACAACATTATAAACTGGGGTTGAAGTTCATATTTGCTGACAGAATAGACAACTTGAAAAAAATATGTTGAAAGAATTGAGCAATAGTTAGAACAATACTGAGATACAATAAAATACGATCATTTTAGCTCCACAAGATATATGTTTCTGTTTTCTACTTATTGTAAAGTATTTCATCTCATACATCACAGATTATTCACTTTATAATGGAATAAAGCAAACCTGTCAACCGTGAGGCCCAATTAGTCTGTACAGTGCAGCAAAACACTGCAGAAGTTGCTGTTATGTTTTAAATCCAATTCACCATTATTAATAAATCAGCAGTGGAAAAATACATAGTTTTGTCTCCTTTGTGTAAACCTCTGACATTTTTGTAAAACATTTAGCTAACATTTGAGCTCACAATTGTGATAATTATTCAACATGGGTGAGCCTTGAATAAAATGTCATTTACATTGTAAAAGTAATCCAGCCACTGACTCATAGGGGTAGATTTACTAAAACTGGTGAACTCAGAATCTGGTTCAGCTGAGCATGGTAGCCAATTAGCTTCTAACTTCAGCTTTTTCAATTAGGCTTTGACAAGAAAACCTAGAAGCTGATTTGTTTCTAAGAAGAGCTGCATCAGATTTTGCACTCTCCAGTTTTAGTAAACCAACCCCATATGGTGAGATTGTTATTGTATCCAGTTTGTGAATTGCTGCATGTCATGGGGCTCATTTGTTTCCGACAAATTCGCTTTAAGCCTATGCTATTGACGTATTGCTGTGCTAAGTGAGGCATTTTTTTTTTTTTGGCGGAGGGGAGGATATTGGGTATTGGTAACACTACATGGCCTTGCAAGATCTATAGAAAAGTGTTTTTAATCACGCCTTGATCTAATGTATACTATACTACTGAGGGACTACAGCCAACAAAATTGGTTTATTAAAAAATTTGTGCTCTTTGTTTTAATCTGTTTCTTTCTATGGTTTAAGGCGCAATTAGTGGAAATTTAAAGCAAAAATTAGTAGAAAGTTAAAGAGAAAAAATTGAAGATTTAGTAGTAAGTTAAAGAGAAAACAATGTTGAACCATATAAGCAATTTTCCAATAATCTCACTGTTTTGTGCGCTTGTAATTCAAATACTTTGCAAGTTATAACCGTAGCACATTTTTCCTCTGCCTTGCAAGCAAAAGCTCCTAGCATGCACCAATAGATGGATGAACGTGGCTAATATCTGTGATTCATTTCTGAACATTCATATCCATTCATGTATGGCCAGCTGTAACGCGATGACAGAAGGTTACCTTTCATAAATAATTTTGTAAAGGAACGTCTTCCTGCTGAGCTACATCAATTTGGGGTAGTTATAAAATGAAATCACGCTTCTGCATTGCCCAATACCCATTTTTGTTTCGTATACCATGACCAGAATTTGCCAATTTTTGTTTTTTTACCCATTAATAAACATTATCCAACGTTCAAGGTGAAAAATATTATCTATAAATAAAAAAGTGATAAAAAAAACTGTTTATGCTAAATAGGCAGTGTCGTCCCGAGAAGCAATGTCTGTTTAATATTTGGTCTTTTGCATGGTATTTTTTTTTATATAATCCAATGGAGACATTCTCATTTGTCTAAACTACATCTAAATACTATTGCATGCATTTATTAATACATGCTTAACACATTTAACTTATTGAGGCAGATTTGTAAAATCTATATGTGTAAAATCTTAGGAATGCATGTAAGTGAACAAAGTGGTAAAAATCAGTATGTATGTCAATAATAATAATAAAAATTAATACATTGGAAAACTATTTTTTGTACAATTTTCACCATGGCGAAAAAACAAGCTAATAAATGATGAGCAGCATGTTAAAATCGTGCCCCATGGTACTGCTATCAAATATAACTGGCTTGCTAATAAAGTTTATTAAATATTTGCAGGTTGCAACCTTTAAGCCTGCACAGTAGATACAACAACCTGATTTATAGATATAAAATTTTTTAAAAACTGTAAGCGCTTTAAAACCTACTGATACAAAGCCAACATGAAAACCTTTACCCCATGCCAAATTTTTGCTCTTTTTTAAGGTCAGAATTGTATTCTACTCACCATTGGTAGGGTTGTTGGCTGCTACTCCACTGCGTCTCATCCAGTCATAAGGATTTCGCCGTTGAGCGTTAGGAGACAAGGGTGGCACTGAGCTGTTGATTGCAGGTGGTAAGAGTCCAGAGCCCGGTGGCTGAACAGGGTTAAAATCTGTAGGGCTGAAACCAATTTGGCCTGGGTTAGCTGAGGATGGAGCAGGTCCTGGTGGATAGGAGTGCCAGTCCTCTCTGCTTGGGGCATAGGGAGAACCCCAGGTGCCCGCAGGCTGCCCATGATGTGGGTCGCTGTTAATTCCAGGAACATGATGATAGCTAGCAAAATCTGAATACTGTGAAGGAGCCGGGACATAGTTTTGGTGGTTGAGGTTCAAGCCAGGGTGCCTTACTGGATTAGGGTACATATTTGTGTCCTTATCAAAAAGATAACCCACATAAATTTTTCCCAATGGGTCCACTGCCATAATGTGTTTGCCTGGCCAGCTGTCTCTTCTCTCCTGAAGTTTTCTTCAACTCTGCTCCACTTCTTCCTGATTCACGGCTGTTCCCTTCACCTTCCTTGGCAGCTGACTAGCTATCACTTTGATAGGCACCTCCCTGTCTAAAGCCTTTTATTGGGCCAGTAGGCATACAATTTGCATTGAAAGACAGCTTTGCATTTCAAAGGAACTCAAGTGCAAGAATCAAAGTGGAAGCCACTAGGTGAATTCAAATGGTACAAATTGCTTAACAGATAGCCCTGGTGTGTGTCACTGTGTGTATGTCTCCAGGAAAAACTACAATACTTCAAACTTAATTAACAAACCAAAGCACTTTCAGTTCAAGCCAAACACTGAAAAAGTTTTAAAGACCTTCCAAAGTTCACTGTGGCTGCTAGTAGACAGAAATACAGGTGTATATTCATTCCTCCCTGTGAAGGAAGTTGCTAATTACCTGTTGAAGCTTCTATAAAGTAAATGTATATTTTAGTATAAATAAAATGTGTAAAGCAAATGAGTTGAAATCTTTTGTTGATTTATTTATACCTGTCAAGAGTAGATTGTTTTGACAGGTTATTTATGTGAGTCCAAGGAAAGACCCCATTTGTGTATGTGTATCAGGTTAAAGACATAAGCCATTAGAGATAATGAAGCTACTAACAGTCAGTTTGGGGAACATTTGTATTGTAGGCATTGGCACAACCCTGACTGATGCTCCCTGTGAAAAAGTTGATCACCTGGGATGGGTTTTCCTGGTTGATCATTATTGTTTATCCCATGCCAGGCTGGTACATGCAGTGCACCACAATACATCCAGCATAGCCAAAAACACACAAATCCACCCAGTGCAAAAGTGAAAGTCTGCAGAAAGGCCATGTAACAACACGATTGTGCATGCAGACTAGTTGCCAAACCTTTGTAATTTTCAGGACAAGCTTAGCTTGTATGTAAGTCAGCTCATCTAAACATATATATAACTCATTTCTATAGAGATGAAAAGAGGGATATGCATTCAGAAATCCCAAGCATCCGTTTACAGTAGATGTGTAATGGAGTGCCCATTTACTCACTTTGCTTGGAAGCAGTTATTGGCGCCTTTTACTTCTTTTCCCACAGCTCCCTGGGTTCCTGGACACCCCCAGGGAAGAGAAGTTTCACTGCTTGCCACCCACATAAGCTCTAAGAGACCACATCTGATGAGGCCAAGGTAGCTTGTTGAGTGATCTGCAGCCAGGTGAGAGGCCCTCCACTGTCAGAATCAGCATATGGGTAGCCGGGCCAGAGTCTATTAGCACACAGCTTCTCCAAAGACTACTGTGGGGAGCCCCTCCCTGACTGTTTTTTTTTTTTAAGTCTGCGGAGGTGCAAAATAAGAAAAACCTGTAAGTGGACAAAAACATGCAAGTGCAAAACACAAAGACAAAAAAGTGCACTTAGGGGTGTGCTTTAGTCCACCCCCTGAAGGGGTAGGACCTCTACCCTGATCCCCCGGGCCCCAAGGCTCCTGACAGGGACTAAGGTTTCCACATGGTCCACCTAGCCAAAAGGCCTGGCGGACCCCTTTCCTTGTGACTAGCCAAAGCCGACCACCAAGTACTAGGTCAGAGGGCTCTCCCGAAGAGGGACCCCACAGGGACAGAGGAGGAAGGAACCTAATGGCCATGCATCCTCCCCCTAGACTACAGGGCAGGCCCGAGGACCCACACCCTACCATCTTAGTGAGAAAAAAAAAACACACCCAAAAGTGAAAGGTGACAAAACGTGGGGAAAAAAATAAATAAGTGGCCCTGCAATTTTGCACTAGTTAGGCCCTGAGGCCTGTAGCATAAAAATTGCCCTGGACTTAGCCAAAAGGCCTAGCCCTAAAAGGGGCAGTGCAGAAAAAGTTTTAGAACAGTGACCATGTGCACTTTTCACACTCGGGATCCCAACCCCCATGTGCTACTAAGAGCACCCCTAAGGTGACCACTCAGGGGGCACTGCTCTGTAGACTCTCTGCCTCCCCGCCCCTTGCCAGACAAGATAGATCCATTTAAATTAGGAGGAACTGGGCCCCTCCAGTTTTCCCAGGGGAATTACTCCTGGTCCCCAACAGTCTGTGGGCGCCTCAGTTTCTATTCCAGCCGGTACTAGCCTTCAGTGCCCCCATCATACCAGCAGGGGTACTATACAACCAGCCATCCTTGCCTAAAAGCAAGAATGACGGCGGAGCACCCCTACTGGACACTGATAAGAACAGATACGCTTGATCTTAGCCAAAAGGCCGATACCAGTTCTGGTGAGGTGGTGCTTTGTCCTTGGGTCTTGGATCCCTACAGCTGTTCACCTGTGTAACCAGAGCTACCCTGGACTTCACTGTGAGAGACACTGTCTATGAGGATAACTGCAAGTAAATTTTCTGTACTGTTGCATTGAAGTAGTGATTCTCAGCTTGACTGTGTGTTATAGAGTCTTACAGAGACACTGCTATGCAGCCACACAGTGGCTCTGAGGAAGAGGCAAGTCCTCGAAACGCGTCAGCCTTTTGGATGTCTAAACTCCCTATTGTGGACTGTTACTCAGCGCGGTGTTGATCCAGCTGTTCTTCTATGATGTGCCTTGACTATATTGTCGTTTGTGAGTACAACACCTACTTTATTTTTTATTAAACACATTTTTTATGGTAATGCACTAGGCCTGTGTGCCCTCTTTTTGTTCTTTCCCCATTCAGTATATTTGGATTCCCCCGGTCCATTTGAGGGCAGCAAGGTGTGCATGTTCCAGGACATTCTTAATGTGGTTGTAGCATCGAGTCCATCCCCAAGCGCAGGAGCATTTGTGTTTGCTGGTTCTATGCAGCCACACTACCCTGATTGAGTCACAGGTATTACTGTGGAGCAGGGGCGGACTGACCAGTTGGAAACTCAGGCACTGCCCAAGGGCCCGGGGTTAGTAGGGGGCCCCATGAGATGCCCCTGGTACCTTTTTCATAGGCTTTTTTGAGTTTGGGCAAGGACACAGGGGCCCCATGATCACCTATTGCCCGGGGGCCCCATGAGTTGTCAGTCCGCCCCTGCTGTGGAGAGTCCATATTTGTGCAGCTCTTATTATTCTGCAGTGTAAGCATGTTTTTTTTTCCATCGTGAACCTGATTTTATTATGCTATCTAACTTTTAAACTGCAAGCAACAGTTTCTCTTTATATGAACATTCCGTCAATTACCTATTCCATAAGGGATGAATCAATAACAACTGAGCAAGGTTCTTTACCCTGTCGGATCTCTCCAGCTATTTACCTGTGTTACCAGCATTACTGCAATGTCAGGGACAATGTATATGAGCAAAGTTTCCAGTAGCTTTGTTTTAAATAAAAGCTGTTTTGAGTGGCAATACTACACTATATTAAAGCATTCTTTTCACATGGATGTGGAGCGATCTGGAGATGTTTAAAAGTTCTGGCTAACAGTGGTGAAGATCTGTGTACCAGTATACCCTCCCGGGCAGGAGCGGACTGACCATTTGGAAATTCGGCACTGCCCGAGGGCCCGGGTAGTAGGGCCCTCGGGCAGTGCAAAAGTGAAAGTCTGCAGAAAGGCCATGTAACAACACGATTGTGCATGCAGACTAGTTGCCAAACCTTTGTAATTTTCAGGACAAGCTTAGCTTGTATGTAAGTCAGCTCATCTAAACATATATAACTCATTTCTATAGAGATGAAAAGAGGGATATGCATTCAGAAATCCCAAGCATCCGTTTACAGTAGATGTGTAATGGAGTGCCCATTTACTCACTTTGCTTGGAAGCAGTTATTGGCGCCTTTTACTTCTTTTCCCACAGCTCCCTGGGTTCCTGGACACCCCCAGGGAAGAGAAGTTTCACTGCTTGCCACCCACATAAGCTCTAAGAGACCACATCTGATGAGGCCAAGGTAGCTTGTCGAGTGATCTGCAGCCAGGTGAGAGGCCCTCCACTGTCAGAATCAGCATATGGGTAGCCGGGCCAGAGTCTATTAGCACACAGCTTCTCCAAAGACTACTGTGGGGAGCCCCTCCCTGACTGTTTTTTTTTTTTTTAAGTCTGCGGAGGTGCAAAATAAGAAAAACCTGTAAGTGGACAAAAACATGCAAGTGCAAAACACAAAGACAAAAAAGTGCACTTAGGGGTGTGCTTTAGTCCACCCCCTGAAGGGGTAGGACCTCTACCCTGATCCCCCGGGCCCCAAGGCTCCTGACAGGGACTAAGGTTTCCACATGGTCCACCTAGCCAAAAGGCCTGGCGGACCCCTTTCCTTGTGACTAGCCAAAGCCGACCACCAAGTACTAGGTCAGAGGGCTCTCCCGAAGAGGGACCCCACAGGGACAGAGGAGGAAGGAACCTAATGGCCATGCATCCTCCCCCTAGACTACAGGGCAGGCCCGAGGACCCACACCCTACCATCTTAGTGAGAAAAAAAAACACACCCAAAAGTGAAAGGTGACAAAACGTGGGGGAAAAAATAAATAAGTGGCCCTGCAATTTTGCACTAGTTAGGCCCTGAGGCCTGTAGCATAAAAATTGCCCTGGACTTAGCCAAAAGGCCTAGCCCTAAAAGGGGCAGTGCAGAAAAAGTTTTAGAACAGTGACCATGTGCACTTTTCACACTCGGGATCCCAACCCCCATGTGCTACTAAGAGCACCCCTAAGGTGACCACTCAGGGGGCACTGCTCTGTAGACTCTCTGCCTCCCCGCCCCTTGCCAGACAAGATAGATCCATTTAAATTAGGAGGAACTGGGCCCCTCCAGTTTTCCCAGGGGAATTACTCCTGGTCCCCAACAGTCTGTGGGTGCCTCAGTTTCTATTCCAGCCGGTACTAGCCTTCAGTGCCCCCATCATACCAGCAGGGGTACTATACAACCAGCCATCCTTGCCTAAAAGCAAGAATGACGGCGGAGCACCCCTACTGGACACTGATAAGAACAGATACGCTTGATCTTAGCCAAAAGGCCGATACCAGTTCTGGTGAGGTGGTGCTTTGTCCTTGGGTCTTGGATCCCTACAGCTGTTCACCTGTGTAACCAGAGCTACCCTGGACTTCACTGTGAGAGACACTGTCTATGAGGATAACTGCAAGTAAATTTTCTGTACTGTTGCATTGAAGTAGTGATTCTCAGCTTGACTGTGTGTTATAGAGTCTTACAGAGACACTGCTATGCAGCCACACAGTGGCTCTGAGGAAGAGGCAAGTCCTCGAAACGCGTCAGCCTTTTGGATGTCTAAACTCCCTATTGTGGACTGTTACTCAGCGCGGTGTTGATCCAGCTGTTCTTCTATGATGTGCCTTGACTATATTGTCGTTTGTGAGTACAACACCTACTTTATTTTTTATTAAACACATTTTTTATGGTAATGCACTAGGCCTGTGCGCCCTCTTTTTGTTCTTTCCCCATTCAGTATATTTGGATTCCCCCGGACCATTTGAGGGCAGCAAGGTGTGCATGTTCCAGGACATTCTTAATGTGGTTGTAGCATCGAGTCCATCCCCAAGCGCAGGAGCATTTGTGTTTGCTGGTTCTATGCAGCCACACTACCCTGATTGAGTCACAGGTATTACTGTGGAGCAGGGGCGGACTGACCAGTTGGAAACTCAGGCACTGCCCAAGGGCCCGGGGTTAGTAGGGGGCCCCATGAGATGCCCCTGGTACCTTTTTCATAGGCTTTTTTGAGTTTGGGCAAGGACACAGGGGCCCCATGATCACCTATTGCCCGGGGGCCCCATGAGTTGTCAGTCCGCCCCTGCTGTGGAGAGTCCATATTTGTGCAGCTCTTATTATTCTGCAGTGTAAGCATGTTTTTTTTCCATCGTGAACCTGATTTTATTATGCTATCTAACTTTTAAACTGCAAGCAACAGTTTCTCTTTATATGAACATTCCGTCAATTACCTATTCCATAAGGGATGAATCAATAACAACTGAGCAAGGTTCTTTACCCTGTCGGATCTCTCCAGCTATTTACCTGTGTTACCAGCATTACTGCAATGTCAGGGACAATGTATATGAGCAAAGTTTCCAGTAGCTTTGTTTTAAATAAAAGCTGTTTTGAGTGGCAATACTACACTATATTAAGCATTCTTTTCACATGGATGTGGAGCGATCTGGAGATGTTTAAAAGTTCTGGCTAACAGTGGTGAAGATCTGTGTACCAGTATACCCTCCCGGGCAGGAGCGGACTGACCATTTGGAAATTCGGCACTGCCCGAGGGCCCGGGGTAGTAGGGGGCCCCATGAGATGCCCCTGGTACCTTTCATAGGCTTTTTTGAGTGTGGTTTTAGCGTGGGTGAGGACACAGGGGCCCCATGATCTTCTATTGCCCACAGGGGCCCCATGAGTTATCAGTCCACCCCTGCTCCCAGGTTAAGGGGAAAGTGCAGTTTGACCTGTCATTATAGGGTCAAACTTGAAGGTGAGCTCAATAGAGTGTTGGAAGTGGATGAGCACTAAGATGTGACACAGGAGCACCGTACACATTCATACAGTAGTGTGGTACACTGGTATATTTGAAGTACAGAGGATTTAAAGGGACGGTTCACCAATTTTTGAGACCATATTTGGATGACACTTGTAGTTGGTGTATTTGGATCACGATTTATAGGATATATACCACACAAGTCCACATGCTGATATTCAAGATTTAAAGGGACAGTTCACTATTAGGAATATTTTATTTGTGGTTTGTGTGCACAATTCATTTATAGCTCTGCTAATGTGTAGTTTATAGGGTCCTATATGTATGTATTGGTAAGACATCTGGTATAGCACACATTGATTTTCACAAGCACATTTTTTTGTTTTTTCATTTGCACATATTATATAGTTAGCACCATATTTGTATATATATTGTTGCATTGCATTTTTTCATTTATTTATGTTTTACATGTGGGAACACATTATATGCTAGCCGCACAAGTTCTTTAGGAGGTCCACAGCGCTTAGGGTTTTCTATACACAATTGCATTGGATAGTAATTGTCTGGGAAATTAGAAGATAAGCTGGTGGTGGCCTGATCACTGTTTACCAGATGATGATTGTGATTCAGCAGCTAATGTTGACACTACTTTGCATTGATGATTCACCCTTACTGCTGATTCAGGATTTAATCAACCTACGTATACATTAAAAGGGAAGTATGGGGTATATAAGAAAAAACCCTTAGGCCCCATGTACACGGGACATTTCTGAACAATGGAAACTGACTGCTGGAAAATGTAGATTAAAAAACGTCTGTTTAGCCGTGTTTGAATACAGCGTTTATGTGCGTTTATAAGCGTTTCCGTTTTGAAGTATTTTTTAAAGATACCTCAGGAGACCTTCCAAAATGCCCAGAATGCATTGAAAAACAGTAAAAATTAACTATTTCAGATATTTTGAGAGAAATAGAGAGAGCAGAAGCAGAGAGAGCAGTATTTGTTGAGATTACCTGTCTTTTTTTTTATTTGTGGTGTTTGGATGTGTTCCAGCTCATTTCTGCGCAGAAATTATTGCCGCAGTGTCTAACATATTTTTTTGTCATGCAAAACCTCAAAGTATGGTGTGGTAGGTCTATTTGAGTACCGGGAAAATGCTTTGCATGCATTTTTCATGATGAAAAAAGACTCTGGACAGCATCTGGAAATGGAAGAGTTAAAAAAAATTTTCATACGCAAACGCTTAGAAACATGTATGCCTGTGTTTACAAGTGATTGCCGCTTGAAACACTGATAAAGTCTACTGCTGAACACAAATTTTCTGCGTTCAAAAAAAGTCTGTAAACTCAACTGCCTGTAAACGACTGTAAACAACGATGTTTACATTAGGGTGAGTTCAGGGGCTGCTGAAAAAAAAGCTGAACAGCTCCTAAATGTGAGTTTATCAGCTGCAGTGTACATGAGCCCTTAGACTCACTTAGGTGGATTCAGCATCAATCTGATGCTGCATCTGTAGCCTGCTCTGCGCAGAGAACTGATTGATCAAACACCGCTGATTGGTTATTTCTCCCCTTCGCTGTGAGCAGCCATGACTGTCAGTTACCGGTTCTCTACTCTGCCTCTCCAGGGCTCACTGGAGCCCCGGGCTGGGTAGGGGAGGGAGCAGCTGGCTCAGTCTCCCAGTGGCACAATGGATCCTGACTGTAAAGTTGGGATCTTTCCCCAGCCTGGACATCAGCTGAAAATGGGTCAAGAGATGTGAGGCCAAAAAAAGCTTTGGCAGTGCTTCTCCTTTAACTTTTGTGTATATCAACACTGACCAGTTCATCAATATACTATGGTTTATAGATACATTTTATTAACTTCAGGCTCTAGGAGCAGTGCAGTATCCATCTATCTCGGCCATGTGCATCTGAGATTTATGCATGCTAAGGTGTATGAGATATGCATGGATATGACTTCTATCTCCATTTATGGCATTTTATTTTGTCGGGACCTACCACATAAAATATAGAAGGCTATTTTAAAGGATAAGTTTACCTTTTAACAAAAAATAATAAATGCGTATTTTTTTGCTGGTAAAAAAATGTGCATGTACTATTTTTTGTTTTGGGAGCCTGGAAAGCATTGCACCAGCGATCAGCAGATTGCTGGTGCCATACAGGACTCCTGCAGACCTGTCAGTGTATATCTGTGCTCATACCTCGTATGGGCAAGCAGATACATGATGACAGGCAGAATCAATGGACTACCACAGAGCTCAACAGTGCCGTGGTAGTTGACTGAGAACTACAAGCCGACAGTTGTAGTTTTCCAATTCACAGAATACGGTAAATGAGTGATGTGGCCAATGAGTGATGAGAAGATCCTCTCCTATCTGTCACAACGGGGGAGCAGGGCCGGTCCTTTCGTAGCATGTTACATGTTATACCCTGAATATGGGTGTAACATGTAACATGCTATGAAAGGTGGACTTATCCTTTAAATATTTATATTGTATTCAGCTGATTTATTTTGTGTGCAGCCTATGCTTTGCGCTCGGACCTGTATGCAATAGGTACATTAAGATTTTTATTGGTGGATGATAATAATATTAGAAGAACCTAATTAACAGTTTAATATTAGCTTTTTTTTATTTTTTGAATTCTACTTCAAGGATTGTTTTTGCTCAGAAATGCTTCTTGACAGTGGAAGTCTGCTCTTTCTTTTGAAATTTAGAAATGTTGGACAATCTATCACTTGAATGAGCCGTACACAATCCATCATAAGTATTAGGAACCACCTCGGAATTGTTTGCTTTAAAGCTGAACTCAAGCTAAGATGTTATTGCATAGTTACATGTAAACATACATATTCCATACCTGTGGGACCAATGTGGAAAAAGAGAATCACTTTAGTAGTTGCCGCTACTGCAGTGATTGTTTCTCTCTTCTAGGTTCTGTGCCCTGCTGCATAGTAACCACTGGGGTTTTCTCGCTTTGCATGAGCTCCATTCACAGAATACCTTGCATTTTTTTCAATGAAGCAAGGTGCTCTCTGACTGAATAAAGTGGAGATTGTGACGTCACTGATCCACCTCTCCACCTCATCCAGAAAATTCTGTGTAATTATTGAGAAAAATGAAGGGCATTCTAGGATTGTTACCCATGCTGAGTGAGCAACTCCTTGTGGTCACTATGGACATATGAAAAGCTTAGCAACAGTATAATTTTTCAAAAAAGCTCCACCAATCTTCATCAACCTCTTCACGCCGGCCACACGCAAATGCATCTGGGCCTAGACACCGAGCGGCCACACATTTGCATGCAATTAAGAAAAATATATGTGCTGAGAGCGTGCACCCTGCGCTCTCCCAGCACACATGTCCAGTACTCATGGAAAGGTCCCGATCTCCTCTTTCGATCAGGATCTTTCCCGATCATATGACTGCCATGATGGCGAATCACAGCGGTCCCATGACCCTAAAACCCTTCCCCCGCCTCCCCGCGTTTGAAACCCTTAAAGGGCCAGGAGGCACCGGCGCCAAGGGGTTAACCTGTTCAAGTTTCCCGCCGGCTGTACACATATATGTGGTCTCTAGCCAGGTGGGTTTTAATGCAAGAGGCTGCATATATGCGTCCCAATGTAAACATTGTCTGTGCTGAGAGGGCGCGCCCGCTGCTCTCCCAGCACAATTATCAACAGATACCTGAAAGCTCCCATTGCCTACTTGTGAACGAAGGCTTTCTGACCATGTGACCACTGTGACTCTCAATCACAGCTGTCACATGATCGAAATGCCATCATCTGCCTCCCGGCATATAGAACCTCTTAAAGGGTCAGGATGGAAGGTTTTAAAAAGAATTCCTTAAGCTCCAGACAAGTGACCTTGTCTAGGATGAGATGATGTCAACAGTCTGCTACAGTCAGGAGGAAGTACTTCTTCGGCTTCCTTTTATGCCATCCATTGTATACAAATGTGTCTAGCTGTGAATGGTCACAGCGATCACATGCACAAGCTGGCCAATCACAGCCTAGCTGTGTCATGTGATTAGCCGTGGCCAAATCACAGCTAATCACAAAAAAAACCTGAATGAATCGATTTCATTCAGGTAAGTGCTTGCTTATAGCAAAGTAATTCTTTGCTATAAGCAAATTGTGTAAAAAAAAAAAATACTGATCACTTCCCCAAAGTAGTGCAATGTTACTATGGTAACATTATACTACTTTAGTCATAGTGAAATATGAAAAAAAAAAATCTTAACAAAAGAGAAAAAAGTAATAAAAAATTAAAAATAATAGAAAAATGTCCAAAAAATAAATAAATTATCAATTACTGTCAGCAGTCAGTGTCCCTGACCACTGCCATGCCAGTTATATGATGATGCTGTACTGCACTGTTGACAGTATGTAAAAAAAAAATGTGAAAGTCATTTTTTTAATTTCTTCATTTTCCAAAAAATTATGACAAAAAAATTAAAATTTCAAAAAACTCACCATGCCTGTTATGAAATACGTCGGACTGTGTACTTTGCAAAAAGGGGTCATTTGGGGGATATCTGTACTGTTCTGACATTTTTGCCTGTCAGTACTTCAGGATTGATCAATTTTCAGATATATCCCATAGTTTGTAAACTCTATAACTTTCCTACAGACTAAATAATAAATACTAATTTGGGTTATTTTCATCAAAGACATGTAGTAGAATAAATTTTGGCCTAAATTTATTAAGAACAATTATTTATTTCAAAACTTTTATAACAGAAACAAAGAAAAATTTGTTTGTTTTTTTTCAAAATTTTCGGTTAAACTTAGCAAAAAATAAAAACCCCAGTGGTGATTAAATACCACCAAAAGAAAGCTCTAGTTGTGTGAAGAAAATTATAAAATTTTAATTTGGGTGCAGTGTTGTATGACCGCACAATTGGCATTCAAAGTGTGAGACTACTGAAACCTGAAAATTGGCCTGGGCAGGAAGGGGGTAAAAGTGCCTGGTATGGAAGTGGTAAACAAACACTCGCCTGTCCAAGGATTTAGCTCCATCCTCACCTAGGCCGATTCATTGCAGGTCTTTGGGTCCTTAGCGGCGGCATGTTCACTGTAACTGTAGAAAGCCCCCTGTGACTCCTTGTGGCTTCACAGCCGGCTCCCCACTGCACATGCGCTACATGTGGTGAGCATCATGAATGGACCTGCAGCCTCCTGGGACCTGTGATGTGTTGCAGGTGGGGTCTGAACTTCTTTTCTGATCACTTAGATTTTCGGAGCGGAAGTGGGTGCAGGTGCCTTTTAAAACTAGGTATCCAATCCCCCCCAAAAGATACATATATTCCAAATATGGCAGAGGACGAGGGAAGGAAAGAAGAAAATTGGATCTTCCCCTTTTGGGTGAAGTTCTACTTGTTTTGGGTGAAGTTTGTAGTAAGTCACATAGCAAGAGACTGCAGTAGAGGCCGATCTGTAGTGGCCTGATGTCCACTAGTGGGCCCTGTGCTCACTGCCTGGCATCATAGAGCTCAATTGTCATTTGCCATTGAACACCAGAATTGGCAAGTCCACCACTGGCGCCCTGTGCTTTTCACAGACGAGAGCAGGTTCACCCTGAACACATGTTACAGACGTGAAAGGGTCTGGAGAAGCCATGGAGAATGTTTTGTTGCCTGTAACATTGTTCAGCATGACCATGGAAGGACCTTTATAGTCTAGACAATGGCACCCTGACTGCCATTAGGTATCTGGATGAAGTCCTTGGACCCACTGTCAGACTCTACGCTGGTGCAGTGGGTCCTGGGTTCCTCCTGGTGCACAACAATGCCCATCTTTATGTGGCGACAGTATGCAGGCAGTTCCTGGAGGATGAAGGAATTGATACCATTGAATGGCACCCACGCTCGTCTGTCCTAAATCCAATAGAACACCTCTGGGATATCATGTTTCGGTCCATCCAATGCTGCCACGTTGCACCTCAGAATGCCCAGGTGCTCAATGATGCCCTGGTCCAGATCTGGGAGGAAATACCATAGGACACCATCCGTCATCTCATTAGGAGCATGCCTTGACGTTGTCAGGCATGCATACAAGCACGTGGGGGCCATACAAACTACTGAGTACCATTTTGAGTTGCTACCATGAAATTTCAGCAAAATTAACTGCTGCATCATTTTTTCACTTTGATTTGCGGGGTGTCTTTGAATTCAGTCCTCTGTAGGTTGATAATTTTCATTTCCATCAAACGATGGGGCATCGTTATGTTCCTAACACATTGCCCAGTCCATATCAGTATAGATATCCAGCATGATATTTTTCCGCATTGCGATCTGATGTGTTTTCAAAGTGTTCCTTTAATTCTGTTGAGCCATATACATGCATATGTTCAAAATAAAAAAATTGGATCTGTTGTCCATTTCTCCTTTGCTGTTCACTTCCTTACCCGGAGACAAAGAAAGAAATTAGAGGACATTTTAACGTGAAATACTCTCTTAGATGATTCTAAGTAGAACAAGTGTTCCCATTGTAAGGTTTCCCTTCATCACCTGTTATGTAGACACACGCTAAAAGTTTAACATTCATATCACTTTTCACCCCAGCATCAGTGGTCACCAGAACAAATAGAGAGGATAAAATCTCCCTAAGACATAGCAAAAAAAAAAAACAAGCAAAAACTAGAAAAAAAAACAAGGTTTTGGCCAGAGACAATAATTGGACATATATGTTATTATTGCTAGATGACACATTGGACAGCTTCTGCAACTAATGCAAGACTGTTACTACTCTTTGCATATGCAAAAAGCCCCATTCCAGTTTGGAGTGTATGCCAAGGCAAAGTGAAAAACACATTTAGTACATTTGTGGAATACATGCACATTTCCTCTCCTCCTTGCCAAACTGCACTCCCTTGGCATCAGGGACGCTGCTCTCTCCTGGTTCTCCTCCTACCTTTCCCAACGCTCCTTCAGCATCACCTACAACACTGCCACCTCCCCCTCTCTGTCGGGGTCCCCCAAGGCTCTGTCCTCGGGCCCCTCCTCTTCTCCATCTATACCTCCTCCCTTGGCAAACTTATTCACTCCCACAGCTTCAATTACTACCTCTATGCCGACGACACCCAAATTTACCTCTCCACCCCCCACCTCACCCCCTCACTCTCCGCCCGCATCACCCACCTCCTAAACGACATATCAGACTGGATGTCGCTCCATTTCCTCAAACTTAACCTATCCAAAACCGAGCTCCTGGTCTTCCCCCCACCCCGCAACCCCCCATCCTCTCCATCACTACTAACAACGCCACCATCTCTCCCACCCCACACGCCAAAGTCCTGGATGTCACCCTGGACTCAAACCTCTCCTTCCTACCCCACATCCAACTGCTATCTAGATCTTGCAGGCTCCACCTCCGCAACATCTCCAAGATACGCACATTCCTCACCCCAGACACCACCAAACAACTCATACACTCCCTCATCATCTCACGCCTGGACTATTGCAATTCCCTTCTCACTGGCCTACCCAAACGAACGCTATCCCCACTCCAGTCGATCCTAAACTCAGCGGCTAGACTCATCCACCTCACCAACCGCTCCACATCTGCCTCCCCCCTCTGCCAATCCCTTCATTGGCTCCCGATTACCCAACGCATCAAATTCAAACTACTAGCTCTGACCTACAAAGCCATTCACAACGCCGCCCCAAACTACATAACCGACCTGATAACCAAATACTACCCTACCCGTGCCCTCTGCTCCTCACAGAACCTCCTGCTCTCTAGCTCCCTGGTCTCCTCCTTCCACGCCCGATTGCAGGAGTTCTCTAGGACTTCCCCCATCCTCTGGAACTCCCTACCCCAATCCATCAGACTGTCACCTACCCTCCTCACCTTCAGGCACACCCTGAAAACCCTCCTCTTCAGGGAAGCCTACCCCAACCTCACCTAACACCTGACCTCACCTAACAATTAAGCTCCTCGACTCCTTCCACCACTCCATCCCCCACAGCCATTTCCTCCTGTACGACCTTCCCCTCCCTCCTAGATTGTAAGCTCTAAAGAGCAGGGCCCTCGAACCCCTCGTGTATTGTATTGTTACTGTCTTGTCTCATGTTCTGTCCCCCTTGCTACTGTACAGCGCTGAGCATACCCTTTGGCGCTATATAAATAATAAATAATAATAAGTAATAATTAAATAATAATTTCCTCACGTTTCATTCCTTTGCAATTACAGAAGAATAACTATCTATGTGCCAGAAATATAGTATGCTCGTATAGGGGTGGACTTACAACTCATGGGGCCCCCGGGCAATAGGGGATCATGGGGCCCCTGTGTCCTTGCCCAAACTCAAAAAAGCCTATTAAAAAGGTACCAGGGGCATCTCATGGGGCCCCCTACTGACCCCAGGCACTCGGGCAGTGGCCGAGTTCCCAAATGGTCAGTCCACCCCTGTGCTCGTAGCTTTCTCTTTGACATGACAACACAGCCCTAAATTCCAAAGCATGTGGTGTCAGCCCTGCCTACTTCATTTTTGATGAATTATTGAGAACACAGACATTTAATGGTCCCCTTTTCTCCTTATCTCCATAACCCTTTCTTTAGCACAGGCAGGGAGCACTGGAAGCTATCAAATCACAAGATTTCAGAAAAAATCAACAGGCTTTTACCTTGAGGTACAAAGTCATGATTTTGAAGGCTCAACAAATGGCGACAGGCCCACCTACAAGCATCCTAGGTCTGCCAATATGTGGAAAAGAACATTTTAAAGTTCCACCTACATTCTAAGCTTTTTAAACTCGGTCACATGCCCATCAATAATACATTTTGATAGCTTTAGGTAGTGTAAAGACGGCTCGGAGCCTCTGACAGGTTATTTTTACTGTCTCTATCCCTGTTGGAGAGATTTTCCATAACTTCCAGTCATAGCCTTGTAAATGATTTGGCTGGAGATCTACTTTAAAGTACACACAAATCTGGGATGATCCTCCTGTCTTTGTTTAGCATCAGATGGCTTAGACATCCTGTGCTAACAGGGGAAACAGCAACTGGTCACATTAAATATTCTGGGGCTTTTCTATTGGGGCTGTTCTATTGATTCTCCCCTCCCTCCATTTTTAATTTAACCACTTCATGTCCGGACACTTTTACCCCCTTCCTATCCAGGTCAATTTTCAGCTTTCAGTGCTGTCGCACTTTGAATGACAATTGCGCGGTCATGCAACACTGTACCCATATGAATTTTTTAGCATTTTTTTGAGACAGATAAAACTTTATTTTGGTGGCATTTATTAACCACTGGGATGTTTATTTTATTTGCTATATAAATGAAAATGTCCAAAAAAAGTGTTTTTCTTATAAAATTTTGCAAATAAATAATCTTTCTTCATAAACCTTGGCCAAAATTTATTCAGTTATCTTTTTAGTAACAAACAATAACCCAAATTAGTTTAGACCAAAAATTATAATTTTTTAAAACTTTTTTTACATTTTTATTTTATTTTTTAATATTATTTATGTTTTTTTTTAACATACTGTCCATACTGTACCATGGTGACACTGTACTACTTGTGGGGGGTGATGAAGATTTTTTATTTTTTTTTACACTGATTGCTTTTACACCCATAAAGGCTGTAAAAGCAATCATTTCTTTTCTCTCTGGCTGCATTCTTGCAGCCATTGAGAAATACTGTGTGAACTGTGATTGGTCACAGCTTGTCACATGGTACAAGGCTGTTGTGAATAACTTTGTACCATGTGATCTCTGTGATCATTCACAGGTTTCACACGTAGTAAGCAATGTCAGAAGTGACATTTTGCTCACACCTATTCATGTGATCACTGATTGGTTAATCAGTGATCACATGATCGGGACCTCACACCAAGGTCCCGTACAGCAATCAGTGTTCCCAGGGAACATGCACAATCAAAAATGGCGGGCGCTGTTTATGAACGGCAACCTGCCCCTGCACTGCCACTGTCTAGCCGTTTGTATACAGCGGCCCAAAGGGGTCGCGACCCACAGGTTGAGAACCACTGCTATAGAGGGATATGTTTTGTTAACATTTTATGTTTGAGGTTTACAACCAGAGTGTTGGAAAGTTTTTTCTCAATCAGCACCATCGGTTATAGCTGGTGGCAGTGCTGGTGCAAGGATTTTTGTCTACACAGATGAAGGTGCATTTTGCTTCCCACCACACCGTCCTCCCACCACCCTCTCCCCTCCACAATGGCAGTGTATAATGATTTTTTATTCCTGGAGCCAATTTTTGCATTTTTACATTTTTTGTTTACATGTTTTAAACATCATTTTAGGCCTGTCGATTACTTAAAACCCCCAAAATATTATTTATATTTTTTGAAAGCAGACACCCTGGCTAATAAAATGTTGGTAGGTTGGTAGTTTTATGTGTCACAATATTAGGTCAACGGGTTGTGAAAGGCAAAATTTCAGTAAAAATACACTAAAGTTAATTTCTGGTGCAATTTATTAGCTAATTTTTTGGCAAAATACAAAAAGATGAGGTTGTGAGTAAATAGATACCTCTCTCAAACCTTAAAATGGCATGCACACTAACGCTTTAAAAGCCCCTGCAGATCATCAGTTAGAGTTACACCGGAGCACTCAAGGTCATTGTTTACAACAGAACTATACTTCTCTTCAGTCCAGTGATGCGGCATCCCAGAGTTCCCCACTGGCTGCTGACATCTTCAGGCAGCCGTCTTCTGAGTCTAGATCACCGGGCACCGTCATTGGCCAGGTCGAGATGACATGGGAGTTCCGTCAGCTTCAGCATTGCTGAAATTGTGCAATGAGCTGCACGTTGCGCAGTCATGCAACACTGTGCCCATATGAAATTTATAACATTTTTTCACACAAATAGAGCTTTCTTTTGGTGGTATTTAATCACCACTAGGTGTTTTATTTTTTGCGCTATAAACAAAAAAAAAGCAAAATATGTGAAAAAAAAGTATATCTTTGTTTCTAGTATAAAATTTTGCAAACAGGTCATTTTTCTCCTTCTGTGTTGATGAGGCTGCACTGCTAGGCAGCACTGATGGGCACTGATAGGTAGCACTGATGGGCACTGATGAGGTGGCACGGATAGGCAGCACTCATGGCCACTGATAGGCTGCACTGATGAGGTGGCACTGGTGGGCATTGATGAGGAGGCACTGATGATGCTACACTGATATGCAGCAATGATGGGCACTGATGGGCACTCATGGGCGACACTGAGGGTGGCGCTGACTGGCAGTACTGACTGACGACACTGACGGGCACTGTTGGGCACTGATAGGCGGAACTGATGGGTGGCACTGCTGGGGGGGCACTGATGGGTCGCACTGCTGGGCACAGATAGGCACTGGTGGGTGGCACTACAGAGCATTGGTAGGTGGCACTGCTGGGTGGCACTGCAGGGCACTGATGATCAGTGCCCTGATGATCAGTGCCGATCTGCTCTGTGACAGATGCCGGTTATTGGCAGTACTTAGTGCTGCCGATAACCGGCAACTGTATTTTCTTGGTGATCTGCTGTGTCATTGGACACAGGTGATCATGTGGTAAAAGGACATTGTGACTGGCCTTTTACCTCATCATGTGATCACGGAGATCGCTGGGTGTGCGCCACTGGGGGTGTGCGGGAGGGCTCATTCTGGAAGGACGTCCTATGACACCCTCCCAAAACTGGACAACCGTGCTGTAGCTGTCATTTGGCTATAGCGTGGTAAGGATGTGGTTAAAGGATAAGTTCACCTTTCAAGAAACAATATTAAATGCACATATTTTGCAGGAAAAAAAATGTTTATTTAATTTTTTTTCTTGCAGGAGCCTGGAAAGCATTGTACCCGTGATCAATGGCTCATTCAGAACTACAAGTCGCCAGCAGCGGTTGCTGACGGTACTTTTAGTTCATTTACTCACAGGAAACTGTGAATGAAGGACATTGCTGTGTGGGCAAAGTCCTGTAGAGTCACGCTGTTTCTAAAATGTGACAGCAAGTGCAGGGAGAAGATCCCTCGCTCACTGTTACACCGAAGGGGTGAACGGAGGGGGAAGTGCCAGTAGGAGCTGGAACACATTACATGTTCCACCCTAAATATGGGTGGAACGCGTAACATGTTCCAAATGGTGAACTTAGCCATTAAGTACTTGAATAGAAAGATCATGAAGGAAGATGTAAAAAACAAAAAGACCTATTGCATAAGACATGCCAACTGATATGTTTTCATGAAGTTATATTTTGACTGTAAAACTGTAAAAATTATTTAAGCATTTAAATATCTAGCTGTTGCCCTGGACTGAAACTGTATTTGCACAGCAGTCATAAAAAACAAATATAGGCCACTGGGAATTTTTTGTACTTCTGAAGACCTCGAAGGGTCAGTCCACTGAAGACTGACATTTCAGTTATGAATAGTCACTAGTTTATTGAATCACCTTTTTTTCTGCATTGGGGGGGGTTCACTCCAGCTGTGAAATCTATTCACTGGTGTTCCCACTTCTACATTCTACATCAGTATTTCTCAGTCTTTTTTTGTTGCAGCATCCTTTAAAATTCTGCACAATCTTGAGGCACCTCATTCATGTAAAAACAACAGTATTATATAAAGCAGCCACACCCACATGTGTTGGACACCCAACATTAAAGGTGATTTATTCTTCCAAAGCAAATACACCTCTATACTCTGATACTGACTAGTGTTCCAATATTTCTCTTCTGCCGAAGTCTCTCCCAGCTAATGTGACCCCAGTACTTATGGACAGGGACAGAGGAGGGGAAAACAAGGATGTTTTGTAGGTTCCCGATGTCTTCTTTGATCAATGACATCACTGGTTGTTAGGACGCCAGCGGCTAGAAGGTTGTAATGTTGCAAAACCTGCGCCTTTGTGTAACTAAAAGGCAAGCTCGACCCACCCACTGGGTTGTATATAGTTTTTGGGCAATTTTTAGGCATTTTACCAAGGCACCCCTGAAGAAACCTGAAGGCAGGATCGTCCCTAGGGTTGGTGTCACCCGATATGATAACACTTGGTGACACCACCTCCGAAGATCCTCGCAGAATGGATCGGATCTGTGGATTGAGCATAATGGATCAGACTCCAATCCATTATGCTCCCCAATCCGCAAATCCGATCCATCCTGCGTGGATCGTCGGCATGCAACCTATATGGGGTGACAGCGGACCCACTCCACAAAAGGTAAGTTGTAAAGAAAGCCAACCATCCCTGAAGGATGGATCGGATTCATCCTGTGGGGATCGTCGGCTTGCTTTACAACTTACCTTTTCGTGGAGCGGGTCCGGTGACACCCCGTGCGGTAGGTGTCACCCAGTGCGGCGTGCACTCCCCGCACCTGCCTCGGGACACCACTGCCTGAAGGTACCCCGGGGTGCCTGGGCACCCTGGTTGAAAAAGGCTGATCTACACTGCTCTACTGCTCTAACATAGAATCTTTATATCCCTTTTCCTATTCTCTGTCATATAAAATAAATATTTTGCAAACAGAGTGAGATGACTTTTAGTGAGGGAGTGATCGTGAATCCATGTGTGGCTGCTCCAACAGAATTCAAGCGTATGTCAGAACTCAATGTCTCAGTAGAGAGGATTCCTATATCCACCTCACTAATGGATGAAGGAATCTCATGGCTTATTTTTTGTTCAGTCCACTAGCTGAAAAAACCCAATATATCTATGGCCAGCCTAAATTGGGCCAGTTCAGCAGGGAAAGGCCAATTTTTTATCCATCTTTGGTCATACCTGCTTAACCACTTCAAGACCGGACACTTTTACCCCCTTCCTGACCAGGGCAATTTTCAGCTTTCAGCGCTATCACGCTTTGGATGACAATTGCGCGGTCATGCAACGCTGTACCCAAATGAATTTTTTACCACTTTTTTGAAACAGATAAAGCTTTATTTTGGTGGTATTTATTCACCGCTGGGATTTTTATTTTTTTTTGCTATGTAAATGAAAAAGTCCAAAAATTTAAAAAAAAAGTGTTTTTTTATAAAATTTTGCAAATAAATAATATTTCATCATAAATCTTTCCCAAAATTTATTCCGTTATCTTTTTAGTAAAAAAAAAAAAATCCAAATTAGTTTATAACAAAAATTATAATTTTTAAACATTTTTTTTTATATTTTTATTTTATTTTTTTATATTATTTTTTTTTTTTTTTTTTACATACTGTCACCCTAGCAGTACAGTGTCTCCATGGTGACACTGTACTACTTGTGGGGGGTGATGAAGATTGGTCACAGCTTGTCACATGGTACAAGCCTGTTGTGAATAGGCTTGTACCATGTGACCTCTGTGATCATTCACAGATTGCACACGTAGTAAGCAATGATGTCACAAGTGACATCTTGCTTACTACTTTGCATGTGATCACTGATTGGCCAATCAGTGATCACATGATCGGGACCTCGTACAGAGGTCCCGTCCGACGATCGGTGTTTCACTGTGTCCGGAGGACACAGCGGGCACCGGATCGCGGTGCTGCGCGCTCCCAGGGAGCGCGCACAAGCAGGGTGCGGGGAGGCCGTTTATAGACGGCCACCCGAACCTGCACTGCCACCGTCCGGCCGTTTATATGCAACGGCCGGTCGGGAAGTGGTTAAATGCCAGTTCACATACTGTATATGCAGATTGGATGCGATTTGAACCACATCAAATCTGCATGACATGTGAAATAACATTGCTTCCTATGGTGCCTGTTCACATATGTCTGGTGCACTGGCAGTGCTGATTTAGTGCAGATTGAAAAAAGAATCCTGTACGATTGCTGAGCAATTGAAAAAGAGTCCTGAGCAATTGAAAAAGAGTCCTGTACGATTGCTGACCAATTGAAAAAGAGTCCTGTACGATTGCTGAGCAATCGAAAAAGAGCAATTGAAAAAGAGTCCTGTACGATTGTTATCCAGGTGTATCCTGACAGCAGAGCAATCTCTATTGTCAAAGTGTTGGGAGGATTCTTCAACCACCTCACTTGTGTGGATGGGGGAATCTGTTTTTTTTTTATCAGCCTGCTGATTTTTGTTGTTGCATGTGTTCCTTTAGGTTCAAGCAACATCCTTCGTTTAAGCTCACAAAAGCCTACCTACAAACACTGAAATATAGCAAGCCATAGATTATGCAATTTTCTTTCCTTCAACCATGAACTGAAAGAAATAAAATTACTTGATTCCCCCATCAACACAGTGTTGATGGGGGAATCCCTCCAGTGGGAGGTTTCCACACATTCACAATACAATGATTATAGCCACTGGCAGTGATAAAATGAAAAAAAAAAACAATAGGCTGGTTGTACTGAAGTCAATCATTAAATTGACTTCAGTACAACATCTCTGTCCATAGTTGGATTGAAATGCATCTGGTTCTTGCTGAACCACTGGATTTCATTCTGTCTATGGCTATCCTATATGAAGGAAGATGCACAATAGATTCAAACTACGAGAGGCAGTAATCCAGCCAAAATCTCTTGATAAATCTGCCCATACTGAATTTTTATACTCACTGGCTAAATGGAGCTGCTGACTTTAGCAAAGCTGAAGGGTTACCTTCATAATATTAGCAGTATGCTAAACGATGGAAACATTTGAAGGAACTGGATGAAAAAGTTTTCTCGAATTAACAAAATTCCTAAGAAAAATTATATTGCAATTATATTGTAATGAAACCTGTTTAATACATCTGCGATTTCATTTAATTAGCAGGTCTTGATGAAAATAAGGACTTTTAAACTACTAAATAATGGCAAAAAAAAACTTTCAAGGAATGTTCTGATGAGAATTTTCTTCAGTAAAACCTAACCTAGGTTTTAACTGTTTCCCATTCTTTCTGTCTCTAAAAACTATAAAAAAAAAAGCTGTGTCTGCAGTTTCACTTTAAGGCCATTTGCAAATAACTTATTTTTGATTATATAAATTTAAAAACAAAAAGAAAAAAGGAGGTCTGGTCTTCAAAGTCCAAGATGGCAGTCCTTAACATTGCTTTACTGTTGTTTTGTTGTTATGTAGATCCTAATGATATTTTACTACTTGACACTTATATAAACTCCTTATCAGAGGATGGTTATTGAAACATAGAACATAAAATGGCGCCACACAGTGTGTTAATTGGCTATAAACCTTCTATGACCATTATATATCTTTATCCAAAATCTATGAAAGGCTTAACCAACACAGGTTTATTGGAATTACGCGTTACTTATAATCTTCCTGCCTCTCGCCACATTATCACATGTTTACAAAAGTGTGTAAATTCCTAAGGCCCAAGTGAAGCTTTGGTAAAACATCTTGGAAGGGGGCTGCATATAGACTAGAGTCTTATGCAGGCCATAGATGGGTCGAAAACTGGATGTTTTTTTTTTTAAAAAAACGAAAACCGGTTGTTTAATAGGCTGACGTTATCACCAAAGGTAAAAAAAATCGGCCGATTTTCATCCCGTCTACGGCCGGCATTTAATTACTTCTGTCCCTGCACAGAGCTCCGCTATTATATTTGACATTAAAAAGTATAGCGGTTGCAACATTGTATCTACAGTATTTGTATCCATTTCGGATACAGAGGTTTTTATTTGGATACAAATAGATACATTGTTGCAACCGCAATACTTTTTCATGTCAAATATAATAGCGGACTGGAATTCTTCTTTTTCTTCTTCTGCTTCTTTTTCTTTTCTTTTTCTTCTTCTTCTTTTTCTTGCAGGTCACGGCTCATGCGCAGATTTTTTATTGGTAAAAAGATCAGCCGATTTGCCCATCATTGCTGCGAAAATCGGCCGATCGGCAAAATTTGGACAATTTTTTTCCAACTTTACCAATTAAAAAAATGTGGCAAAATCCAGAAAAACGGCCCACCAATTAACCCATTAACGGTGCAAAAATTGGCCGATTTTTTTTTGGCCAAAAAATCGGCCGATTTTCAACCCATCTATGGCCTGCATAAGGCTCCGTTCACACCAATGCGTTTTTTAATGCTTTTTGCAGAAACGCACTACAGTCCATTTTACTTGGTTTCCTATGGAACATGTTCACACTTATGCTTTTTTTGAGCTGCTGCATTTTTGGAAAGGGTCAGGGACTTTTTTAAAAGCAAAAAGCAGGGTTTTTGCTACAATAGAGTTTAATGGAGAATCTACTGAAATACATGGTAGTGTGGTCTTGCCGCATTTTTGCCGCAATTCATGTTTTGCATTTTTATTCTGCCCAGCAACAAAAAAAAATCCACTTTAACCACTTCCTGTCCAGCCCATGTATTTAAACGACCGGACAGGAGCAGTGCAGGAGTGGGTGGCCTTTTTGAACGTCCTCCCTGCTTCCCTGCCTGTTCGCACTTCCTGGGGGTGCGCGGCACCGCAATCCGGTGCCCGCTGTGTCCGGAGGACACAGCGGAACACCGATCACTGCACGGGACCGCTGTGTGAGGTCCCAATCATGTGATCACTGATTGGTCAATCAGTGATCACATGAATAGTAGTAAGCAAGATGTCACTTCCTGACATCATTGCTTACTACTAGTGAAATCTGTGAATGATCACAGAGGTCACATGGTACAAGGCTATTCACAACAGCCTTGTAACATGTGACAAGCTGTGACCAATCACAGCTCTCACAGAATTTCTCAGTGGCTGCAATGGCTGCAAGAATGCAGCCATGGTACAAGGCTCACATGGTACAAGGCTATTCACAACAGCCTTGTAACATGTGACAAGCTGTGACCAATCACAGCTTTCACAAAATTTCTCAATGGCTGCAAGAATGCAGTCAGAGAGAAGGAGAAATGATTGCTTTTGGGTGAAAAAGCAATCAGTGTAAAAAAAAAAAAATCTTCATCACCCCCCTCAAGCAGTACAGTGTCACTATGGTGACACTGTATTGCTAGGGTGACAGTATGTTTAAAAAACCCCATAAATAATAATATTAAAAAAAATGTAAAAAATGTTTTTAAAAAATTATAATTTTTGGTTATAAACTAATTTGGGTTATTTTATTTTTTTTTACTAAAAAGATAACTGAATACATTTTGGCCAAGATTTATGAAGAAAGATTATTTATTTGCAAAATTTTATAAGAAAAAACACTTTTTTTTTCAAAATGTTTGGACTTTTTCATTTATATAGCAAAAAAAATTAAAATATCAGTGGTGAATAAATACCACCAAAATAACGTTTTATCTGTCTCAAAAAAATGCTAAAATTCATATGGGTACAGTGTTGCATGACTGCGCAATTGTCATCCAAAGTGTGATAGCACTGAAAGCTGAAAATTGGCCTGGACAGGAAGGGGGTGAAAGTATCCGGACATGAAGTGGTTAACAAAAAAAAGAGCGCATCACAAAACGTGTCAAAAATGTGTGTAGAAAAATGCAAAATGAACTTCTTCAGAAGTCACGTGACCAGTGATGCAACGCGTCAGGCGGAGCCTAGTGACGTCACTCTGGTATCACGCAAACCGGAATGTGCGGTGAGAGGAACCATTTTTGTTGATGGAATGTTATGCCTGCATTTATCGTTGTGAGTGAATTTTTAACATTTAAATAAAGTGATTTATTTTACGGGGTTGCACTATGAATTGTCCTTTCTTCCCTTCGAGCACATATCATCTCACTGGGAACTCTGGAGTCCGTTCTCTTAAAGGGCCAGCATCAAGGAAATAGCCACTAATGTGCAGCAGTGGATGAGCAAAAATCAATCATCGTTTTAAGTGTTTATGACCTATTTTATAGGTTAAGGAAGAAGGCGAGTGTATGGTACACCTATTGGTGATGGGAAGCACCACAGATTAGTATGCACAGTGGAGAAATGTGAATATTGGATCACTCTACTGTGGAGCACACTTGGTTTTTCCTTAATGTGAGTGCATATGTTTAGCTTACTTAGTGCGTAGTTCATTTAAAACAGTGCTGGGCTATGGGATATATTTTGTTTTTTTTCATGAATGGTTTGGAGTCAAGATTGAATGAAGACACACTCTTGGAGGGAGTGTCACATGGAACACAATTTGGAGAATACACATTCCATTTAAAAGTGCATTTGACCTATTAGAATTAGTAGGTTGAACCTTAAGGTGAGCAGGGGCGGGTCCATAACCTCTTGGCGCTAGCACCTCCCGGCCCTTTAAGAGTTTCAGAAGCTGGGAGGCGGGGCTGGGTTTTAAGGTCATGTGACCACCATGATGGCGAATCACAGAAAAGATCGAAAAAGGTCCCGATTGAAAGCGGAGATCGGGAACTTTCCTGGAGTAGTGTACATATGTGCTGGGAGCGCGCAAGGCGCACGCTCTCAGCACATATGTACTTCTTAATTGCACGCAAATATGCGGCCGCTCTGCGTCAAGGCCCAGACGCCGAGAGGCCGCATATTTGCATGCGATCGGCGTCAAGGGGTTAATACAAGCACGTTGTGGAATTTTGGACGACAGCACAATATTAGGACATTTTGAATTGGACTATT